ACACACACTGTTTTCAGCCCTTAAAGTTAGGTAACATTTTCGTAAAAATATTAATGTCCGATAAAGATTCCACTGAAGTTAAACGATTTGTAATGTTCGAAATTTATAAGTATTCCTGGTCAAATATCTAAGTTTTCCGATTGATAAACATTATAAAAATCACAGTTATAGCTTTCGAAATTTATAGCACACTGATTATATCGAATTACTAATAGACACTCTCTTTGGCGCGTCGCGTTGGTTGTATTTATAGGCGTGGGAAGGTTTTTTGAAAAATTCAGATTGCATAACAATACTGAGCTATATTTAAACGTTTACGTATATAGATATATTGTTGATTCTTACTCTCGAGAATCTTCTACAACTTTGGAGAATAAGCGGGAGTTTCGCAATATATATCTAACTCTATAAGCTAGGCATGTTTTTAAATATAAATTCAATCCAAACAAATGTTGACATTAAAATAAAAATAAAAGAATAAATTCGTTACGCCCCCTATTTATCGAGTTTGCCTCCCATTAACACAATCTTAATTATGGATCTAGGTATGTGTTTTTAATTGTATGTTATACATTACAGAGGTTATTTTTATCAAATTAATAAACACTTTAATCAACACTGAGCTTCAGAGAATTGAGGTGTAAATTTCTGTTAGTCAGTATAATTTATATTAGATAAACTATTAGTGACAATATAAAATTGAAAGTTTATATAAATCTTATTGTTACCGAGTGTAATTTATCTTTTAATGTAATCACAATTAACGGTGTTTTCGACTGCAATATTTATACTAATTTAATTATTAATCTAATTTTCTTTCAAAATTCTCCCACCTAAAACCTTTTTGTTTAAAGCTCTTGTACAGATATTTATAGTATAGTAATTCATAGGTTAAGTATTGTTTATGATTGTTTTTCACAGACCAGCAATCCCTCATATCTTGCTGTTTGTAGCTAGAGGTTCAATTGCAGGATGTGAAGGTGTTTGTGTACTCTACACAAATGAGGTATGTACTATAAATGTTTAACATAATAGTGGTGATATTGTAAATATTGTTGATTAAATATTTCTTGTTATAAGAGAGTCCAAAATTATGAATAAGGACGAGTTATATTCACTTTGATAGATGACATTAATAGAGCAAAAAATAATGAAATAATTAATAGTGACAAGCAATGTCTAATCTTTTCAAATCATGTAAGGAATGAATGTTTTCCTGTGCACCAGTATCAAGGCAATGTGCACTACCAGTTTTTTT